TTTTTGGATATAAAAAACGGAAAAGCGTTTTTTAAAAGGTTTATTGGTCTCAATAAACCCTTTTTGATAGTTTATTAATCTACGACTATTTTTTACAGTGTATAGTGGAGATTGAAATATGAGTGTTAGTCATTTTTGCCTAGTGGAATTTAATATCCCACTATAGTGGAGATTAAAATTTTATTCTCCACTAGTTGAACTTAAAATTTCAATTTTCACTGGATTCTTGCCAGTGGAAATTGAAATTTTAAACTCCACTAGTGAAGATTGAAATTTTAAATTCCACTGAATTTTAATTTCTACTGTAACAAATATAAAGTTGTCTATCAACACCACGCTTTGAAGTGTATCGAATCGATATTATCGACTTCGGCACGAAAAGCTTGGCTTCAGCTATGTGTCCTTACATGCACGTATATAGCTCATTACTTCTGAACACATAGCCTGATGTTCTCTGAAGCTAGTCCATCTTGAAATTATAGGCATTACTATATGAAAGTAAAAAGCCTATTTTGTTTTATATTTTAAAAATTGACACCAAAAAACAGCAACATGAAAATCACACGAGATTTTTTTGGTTGCTAAATCGGTAAAAGCTTAGTTGGTTGAAAAGTTTAATCAGGTCGGTCGTTAACACCCGCTCCGTTACCGATTTACTAATCGGGTTCCAATTCCAATTAATGGTCCAAATCCAAAAAGTGTTAATTGCAAAACATAATCGTTATATTTTAGATAGGAGAAAATTTTCTTAGCGTTAATAATGTAAATTTCGTAACGTCTCAACTGAGATACCATCCATATTTTAATCAAGTATTTCAGTTGAGAAATCAATATTTCTGCGCAAATATTCGTTTCTCAACTGAGATACAATTTTGACGCGTGCATTGAAACGTGCTATTGTGAAAGAGCGCATTGGAGTAAGATCTATTATTCAATATGTATATAAGTGTGAAACAGTGATAAGACATATTTTAAAAAGATATGGATTTTGTTCGAATAGAAACTCAAAAACTTCCATCTTGTTTCAAAAAAAAATCTTTTTCGTCACCAACGTTCGAATAAATGTGGAAGTGAAAGATGGGTTTGTACAGTTAATGCTTGTTCTTGTTCAGTTGTTTGAAAAACGATAAAATAATGTATTAAGTAGCATCCATGGACAGGAAAATACACAACATTTAACCATGTAATGTGGCAATACCCTATACCCTTCACCCTATACTGTATTTTCGGTAATTTGGGTATTATACTACTATATACTACAACGGGTGTCAAAATTGTCTCTTAGTTGAGGAACCAATATTTCGCAGAAATACTGGTTTCTCAACTGAGATATTTTCAGCGGGGATACTTGATTAAAATATGGATTGTATCTCAGTTGAGTCCAAACCAGAGCTTGCAGATGGTCCGCATTTTGCGGATAAATTCCGCTTTCTGTAGGTTTTTCCGCAAAGTGTTCACTGTCCGCAATCTGTCCGCTTTTCGAAGATTTTTTGTTTTTGTAATTTTTCCTGCAATGAAGAACACATTTTCTTATAAAAAATTTGGCGGCTGAATAATCTGCCAAAATAATGCTTTTGCAACTTTTATAAGACAAATGCGCACTGTTTTGAAAACTAACTCAGAAATTGGCCCCGGGAGTGAGCGCTAACAGAAAAACATTAGATTGTCTCAAGTGCAGCTGAAAGGGAGTGTGAAAATAGTGAAATACTAAATCTTCAAAGAAGTCAACTCGGCCAGAAAATCTTAACCATTAAGTGCTGTCGTAGACGGGAAAGTTTCGGATTAAATTTTATCCTGCCATACATAACTCTTGAAATTTATGACGACTGATAAAAAACGCGCATCCACAAAAAGTCAATGTCGATTCAAACTGAGATTTAAATGATGTTTTGTACTCCTTTTGTGTTTCTTAAGTGCAACCGCCAGAAGAAATTTTTGATACCCTTTGCATTTGGTGAAAAATGAGTGTCGCTTTTTTTCCGCTTCTCTGATAAAATTTCCACCTTTTCCGTTTTTTCGACTTTTTATTCCACTTTTCTGACCTAAGCAGCTGGCAACTTTGGTCCAAACCGTAAATTTGCGGTCCATTCTTCTTATCTATGATTTATTATCGAATTGATGAATATTTTAGATCTATCAGTCAGCCGCCATCACAACAACAGTCGTCACTTTCTTTCATAAGTTTAAATTCAAAATCCGCACTCACAATTCCTGACTCAAAATCTACACTCACAATTCCTGACTCAAAATCTACACTCACAATTCCTGACTCAAAACCCGCACTCACAATTCCTGACTCAAAATCTGCACTCATAATTCCTGACTCAAAATCTACACTCACAATTCCTGACTCAAAATCTGCACTCATAATTCCTGACTCAAAATCTACACTCACAATTCCTGACTCAAAACCCGCACTCACAATTCCTGACTCAAAATCTACACTCATAATTCCTGACTCAAAATCCGCACTCACAATTCCTGACTCAAAATCCGCACTCACAATTCCTGACTCAAAATCTGCACTCATAATTCCTGACTCAAAATCTACACTCACATATAAAATTTTATTCAATTGACTGCCAATATCCGATGCCGAAGCATAGAACGATTTTTATTATTCAAAAAAAATCCACCTTTTAAATAGATATCTTGTATGACTTTACATATCAACCCCATTTATCTAAGTCAACTAATTGCCTATATTGTGTATAAAATCTTGATTTAACATAATCATAAAGGTCATATTCATGTGTCAAATATCTTCGTAATATGGCTATAGTATCATTTGATGGCTTTTTCTTATATTTCGAATATAACTGATTTTCCGCACGTTCACTACCTTCTTTCATATACAGTAAACAAACATTTTTGAAGTATAATGGTAATAGTTTTTCTAAAACATATTGTAAACTGTGTTTTTATTGATTTTTTATGCAACTGCAATCTTACCCAGGACATAAAAAAACTTATATAAATCTTCAGTGATTCCAATAACAGTATAAAATTGATTTATATTTTGTTTAGCTCTTTTCAATGACCAATCGTCAATACGTTGACAATCAGGATGTTGACCACAGAAAAAAGGCACTACATTACTAAAAGAAAAATTAAGTGAAGGGAAGGTATGAATATATTTATATATATATGGATAATAACTACCTTACACCTTGAATTGCCTTGAGACATAGTTCCGGATATTTTTTTACACAATCGTCTAGAGTATCATTTAAATAAATTATCTCTAGATAACATCTGCGTTCTATAATACATGTAGCTCGAGTAAAATAATAATCAGATATTGCCCGTTGTAATGGATCACGAATAACATTGATGTAAACTGGTTGAGGCTTTTGAAATGCTGTAAAATCGATAAAATACATGTGTCGTTCGTAGAGTGCCGGTTGTGCCAGTTTAAAAATATTTGAAATAATTTTCTGTTGCATAGTGTCATTATAATCAAATGGAGCATAAATTCTCGAATTTAATATACTAAAATCTCTTGCATTTGCTTGTTCACGAAATACGAAGCGTATGGTTTCTGATGCACATTTAGGCACACGATTATAAATCACATAACTAGTATAGCCTTTGACATGTAGAAGATTTTCGTAGAGATTAGATTCGAGTGAGGATTTTGAGTCAGGAGTAATGAGTACAGATTTTGAGTCAGGAATTGTGAGTGCGGGTTTTGAGTCAGGAATTATGAGTGCAGATTTTGAGTCAGGAATTGTGAGTGCGGGTTTTGAGTCAGGAATTATGAGTGCAGATTTTGAGTCAGGAATTGTGAGTGCGGGTTTTGAG